GGAGGCGCAGAAGTAAGCCCGCTCAGACGTCGTCATGGCCCCCGAAGCTGTACCTCTCGTGGTCGTTCCTGAAGCCCACCCCAGGAAGCTCGTCAAGGAGGTCGTTAGCATCCCTCTGGTCTCGTCCGTCACTCAGAAGGCAAGTTGAAAAAAAATAATGGTCAAAAAGTAAACGAATAATAAAGAGTTTGGAGAACGCGGATTAGTTATTAATGCGGGAGATTAGTCGCGGATTTTGACTCGGTGGAATATAATATTTCCTAATGAGGAAAAGGGTATTTGACTAATATTCGATTCGTTCATCATTTATACGAAGCGGTAATATTGCTAATCTTCCTTACTTATTTTCCATGTATATAACTTACGGATGTTTGTTCACATGACCTGTAAAAGTTACTGATGCAATTTCTTAGGGAATCTTCAATATTTTTCGGCAAGCTTGTTCGTTTTTGATCGATTGCAGAATCTAACTTGGCAAATCGTTTTTCGTTCCTGGATTGTATTAGTATCTTGAAACGGGCTGCATGTAACCCTGTACGTATAAATTTTACTGTAGTTCTTTCTAACAAGCCCGCACCCGTCGGAAGCTAACGACCGGTTTGTAAAAATTGTGCCAGGCCCGACCCAATGAATTTTCATAAATACAGACGCAGAAATAAAGGCTTGTCTATATGATATACATATTACTGTGTATATGCCCGGTTGATATGCAAGTCTAGACTCATAAATATGCACTTTTATCTATGCATGTCAAGTATGCGAGTACTCTTTGGGTCGGGCCTCGCACAATTCTATCAAACCGGCAGTAAGTCCCCAACTCCAGTCAGCATTCTTGGGGGATCCGGTGGGGAGTCGGGGGTTTTAGGGGTGGCGGATATAGATTTCGCTCATAGCAGGTTTTTTTTTAAAGGAAAAGAACCTGAAAAACCCGAGCCAAGATTCGGCCACAAAGTTTCGATACCGTGTTGCGCGAACGAACGAACGAAAGAGCGAGCGAGCGAACCCGGCCTGAACGCGCAATCTATTAGAGATCGCCATAGGAACTAAAGCGCTCGTTAGAACCGGTCATCAAATGGCAATCAAGGGTAGTTCAGTGGTTATGAGAAGCCAAAATATACGATAAGCTAATAATGTAATATAAATGTGTTTATATTGTATGTTTATGGTCAGATTGTGTGAGAATTAGTATCAAGTGATTAAAAGAAGATCCAACTGGTAATTTGTAGTATGAAATGATTGACGTTAATGGTAGTGACGTCACTGAGGGAAGTTGCTTTGAAAGCTGCGCGTGGACTTAACTAGTTAAGTGACTTTTCGACAGGGACTTAGTCGCAGTGAGCGCGGCATTTTGTCACGACCAATTTTCTGACGTTCTTTGCCTGTGCAAATATCAGTGAGTGTATAATTTACGTCTTTCATGACAGTCCTTACATTTTTCCCTATCTTAGCGCGGTTATTGTAGACCGATTCGCTATCAGCGTGAGCGAAAATTGCGTTTGCCAACTACTCTTCAAAAACCTTCAAAAACCTAAGATCACCTTTCTTCCTATTTACAAGGTGTTTATACAAAGACAGTGAAGTCACGTGTAGGCCTACAACAGCACAACACATTTTCCTCCAATAATTTGACAGATATGCCCTATTCAGTTATCTGCTGGACCATATGACATTTCAGACAAAGGCAACAGGAAAACGTATGCTTGCTTCGTTTTCATCTTAATGTTAATGGAGTGTTTGACACTCGGGATAGTCTGGGCGAGTTGGATCCGGGGATTTGCCTGTTAGTTTAAATTATGATAAATTAAAGAAAATGCTTTGATTTTTATAGTATGACTGCTGCCAAAACCTAATGTCGATAATGTCGATGTTGACCTTGTTTGGCTTTATGTAGTGTAGATAGTTTGAAAGAAATTGTCTGGAATTTGAAACGGTCTAACAAGTGTAGATCAAGATGTTCTGAGCAGATGTACACTCTCCACCGGGCGCCCAAGCACTCCCATCAGCGTTCACGCTTTTCATGGCTGTAGGCCTACCCGTCGCTTCCATTATTCAGGTTTCTTTTTTGCGATCTGGGAATGTGTTTTCCCATCATGTGGTTCGAACAACCAACGGCAACAAAGCTCCTCGGCATTTTAACGCAAAGAAACTAAATTTTCGGAAAAATACAGCTACTCTAGGGAAAGCGCAGTGAGTTCGAGATTTTTTCACCTAGTGCTCGTTGCTAGGGGCGCTTTGCTATGCGTTACCGAATCTGTCTATTTACAGATAAAATAACATATTTTACTCTACCAGAGATCCCCCACGTACCCATTACCCTATTTTAGTGTTTCTTCTCCATTTTCAACCAGGTCTCCACCACCCACGAGAAGCTCTGTAGTTCGGTGCCGCTCTACGACTGGCTGACGGCAACCGCGCTGCTGACGACCAAGGTGGTGGCTTCGAAGGCAGAGGAGTACACGGTGGTCAAGACGTCAGGTTGGGATTACTTCTTGCTGCTTTTTAATTATTGTAGTTTAATTCGTCTTTTACTCGATATTGGTTACAGCAATATGAAATTGTAAGTTTAATTTACATGGGCATAATTGTTTTATAACTGTAGTCTTGTGGTTTTATCTCGAAAGCTTCTTGTTTTTAAGAGGATACTTCACCTAGACTGCCAGTGATAGGACACCCGTTTAAGTCCTTGTCCGTGACATCTTCCTTAAAGCATTTTGTTTTCCAGTTCTCAGAGCGGAGGAACTGGGCCTCCATGTGGTAGATAACTTGAAGAAAAGTTATCCGGTTATTGAGAAACCTACGGATGAGGTTAGTTTAGTAACTGGCTAAAACTTTTTTTTAGAAAGAAAATGCATCAGAAGTGGCCGAGTGTCTTTGGCAATGATTTTGTTCAGTTCTGCTCTTCAAAGTCAGTGAGCTTAAACTTTTAGAATCATAATATTGCAATTTATTTTTTGTAAGTTAGATATTATCTATTTAACTAGTGTACATCTATTAAATTCTCAAGTATATCTCCGTATTTGAAGACCAAAGCAAAACTATAAAGAATATTAATTCCATATCATACACTCCTTAACATTGGTTACTTTGATATAATCGTATTTTTCTACGCAGGTGGTAGAGCGAACTACTGTTTACGTCCGCCAGAAGATCCAGCTGGGAACGAGTCGCGTGGCCTCCTATTCCGTGAGTCAAGCCACCTGTCGCGCAACAGAAGCTGCCATAAGGACTGCTGAAGTTGCTTGCGATAGCTTGAGAATCGACCGTGAGTAGGATTGGCGAATTATTACAATAGTAGTCTTAAACTTTGAGAATTAAGTTTAAGAACATGAATGGATTTTTATTTCATAGGAAAGGAAAACTGGCTCGCTTGGATTATACCATCGCCGTTGAAGAAGCTATTTAACTACACGCTCGGTCCTGCTTTGGCTAAAACGGTATGTGTACCTCTCGGAGACTATAAAGTTGTACCTTTTAGTTTAGCTTCCACAATCAAAGAACTTCGCGTGTTGTGAATATTTCTGGCCGTGTTGGTGGTCATTTGCATACCCTTTAAGATAAAGATATAAATTGAAAAGCTAGTCTTGAAACTTTAATTTGTGAATTGAATCCCCCCCCCTCCCCAAGACACGGCAGCTGCGCAACGGACGGCGGACACTGCGAGCTCTGAGGCGTTCTGGCGCGGTTCACACTGCTGTCGAGAACCGCATCAAACGGCGCAGGAAGGTCTGTCCTGAGGAAGTACCCGTTTTATATACGGTCATAGAGCCCAGTGTTCAAACATTTTCGCCTATTGTACCCTTTATTACCTTGTATTAAGTGTTGGTCAATAAATTCGAATCTAATACACGAATAAGAGTGCCTTAATGAGCATAAGAGCCAGGAACAGCTGCAGCGTGCCTCATTCATAGAACATGTGATTGTTTGTTCCTTGTTAGTTCACGTTACCCTTACGATCTGTTGCGGACCCCAGTTTGGACAACTTGTATAGCCTATTCTTGATATAAGAATACTTTCAGCATACTATACTTTTCTTTGCACAGGTTTCTCCGCGCAAAACTGCGAAAGACCAGCCCAGTAGTGGTCTGTGGGCGTGGGTGACTAGTTTCTTGGCCGTGTTTGGCTTGGCCTCGAGTCCCGCCCACTACCCCCCGGCGGAGCTCCCGAAGCTCGACCGCGAACTGACCTCCAGCCCCAAGAAGCAGGAGGGGACTACAGAGGTAACAAGTTATAAAATCTTTAATAAATTGCAAAATTAATTGTAGTAACGGTCTGAGTTAAGATGCCCGCCCCCCTCCTGTACTTGTTAAAGAGCGATGCATCCTTCAGAAATTCCAAAACAAAGTATTCGAACCCAGACCTAACATTTCCTACCTTCTATTTATTACCTAGAGGGAAATCCCTCTGTAACCCCCCCCCCCCCTTTGGCACTTCATGCAAAATTATAAACGACTTTACCGCTGCCTACAACACCCTCGGTTCTTATTTTCGTCCATTAGCAGTAAATGAGGCACGCTGCAGCTGTTCCTGGCTCTTATGCTCATTAAGGCGGCGGTATCCGTATTCCTTCGTATCGCTCTTGGTAAACCCCCCCCCCCCTCCTGCCAACAGAAATTTTAAACTTCACAAAATTTGGTTTAATTTTTTTTAGTAGATGACGCTTTAACTCTTCAATATAGGACAAAAAGAGGAAGCTGTCTGACGTGGAAACGGAGGAAACCACTTCGGTCGAGGAAATGAGCCACTTGGACCTCCTTCAAGACATGGACGACTACCGTTCCGATGAAGACCCCGATTACTCGGTAAGGAGAAAGAGGAAAGACTTGGTATAAATGACCTTGGATCCGTCTTGTATGACGGATCAACGCTTAATTTTAATAATTAATACTTTTTATTAGATTCTATCATGGAATTTGATGGTTTAAGTTGTAGGGTGAGAGAAGGGGAAGTAGAGGAAGGGGGAAGAGGAGAGGGTGAGAGGAGAAGGAAACCATAAAGATGGAAGCTTGATTTTCGGAACTTGATTTTATCTTCCCTTCCCCAGCCAAGCGACACCTCGACCGACAGCCTCGAGTACAGGTCGACGGACCACGAGGAGAGCGAGGCGCCCTTCACCGAGGACGACTTCAAGCGGGAGCCCACGAAGGCCAGCGAAGAACCTCGCTCCTCCGGGGCAGCGGCGCCCCCAGGAGGCGACAGCAGCCAGGTGGCCAAAGTGTCCCTGACGGCGGCCGCAGCGGAGGACAAGCCCGCGGAAGATGTGGACGAGGTTGGGAAGCCAGCGGAGGTGGAGTAGGGACGAGGATGTTGGTATGACGTTTATATATAGGAAGTTTTATTGTATTTTTAAAAATTAAGTTTTCTTCTATTTAACAAGATCGTTTTACTTCCTACCCAAACTAGTTTAACGCTATTGGCGTTGTACAAAAGCAACTTGAACAAGGTTATTCTAGATCCTAGACCAAATCTATTGAAACGGTAAATTAACGAAACGCATAGGCTGGGGTGAAATGAGTGATAGTGCGACAGGTTGATTGGTTTATCTACCTTTTTTTAGATGTTGATACTTTGGTTTTAATTGCTGCATAGTTCGGTCTAGGTAATCTGAAAATGGCCTTGGTGGTAAGTGATATCAAAGGATATGGTCTAAAATTCATCACTTCTGAGCAGAAACCTATAGTACTACTGTCCTAAGCACTTCAATCTCGGTGAATTTCTACCACAGGAATCGCTCATTCCAAGCACCGAATACCCACTTAAAAATAATAAATAAAAATCCTAATATGGCAATCTGGGGTCGGATACGAGATCCGTGATGGAAGGATGGAAGGATGAAAGGCTTTCTCCTGAGCGGCCTTCCTACTCCCTTTGCTATTCAGTCTGTTATTTTACCAACCTACAGCGATATATAACTTGACAACACATTTTTAACCATTTCTACCTTCGTAATACTACATCATGCCAAGCACATTTTTAGCCGTTAACCATTTTATCTAATTGCCCAAAACACTTCCTCTTTTGCTAAGCTCGACCTTACCCCCCCCTAGTAAATCCTTGCAGAATTGCACTTTTTACTTTGACAACTGATCTAATCACCCTTGTTATTCCCTACTTCAGCTTCTCTACCTCTACACCTTTCAATGCCGTGCAATCCTGAACTGCTATATTTTTGAAGCTTGACGTGTAGCAGATTTGACACCATTCCTTAACCTTAACCATTACTGCCTTTCTATAGTGCAATATGGCATCTGATGTCTAGGCCAGTGATTTTGCTCTGTAACCCACAAGTACCACGTCTTCCCCCACATACTGGCGGAAAGGCCTGCCTTGTCCGACCATATCGACCCCTCCCATGCCAGTGTCAAATGTTCTCGTTAAGGTCACCCCGAAAAGACCTGTCGCTGTGCCTAACCAGGTCATGACTGCTCTACAGTCAACGCACAAGTCCCAATTGTGGTGGCTCCCATAATGCCTTTTATATGGGTTGCCATAACAAGGTTGAGTGAGGTAGCAGTCCTCGGATTTAAACTTGGCCTCGCTAGCCAGGCAGGAAGCACGCTGTGCCCCCCCCCCCCTCCCGAAGATGTTTCTACATCTCCCCTTGTATCTTCCTTCTTACATTCCCACTTCTACCCATCCCCTCACCCTGTCGAATTCTTTTGCCATTTTAAATAGACACTCGTCTGTCTGCTGCCCCTGTGACTCTCCTCTTTGCTCTTCTCTTCGCATCAGACCATCCATACGTTCAACCCCATCTCCCGCATCCTCCATTTACCTCTCCCCTTCAAAGTCTGTCCCCTCTTTCCCCACTTCTAAGAAGACCTTCGTTTCTCAGATCCCCAACCAACACCATTGCAGAAACTCTTGACATTCAAAACTTTCTAATCGTGAGAAGTTTGTCCCTCATTCACCCTCCCATTCTTCCATTAACTCTGACTAGCTCCATCCATCTTTCTCCTCGTGTCCCCCTTACACCCCCCCCCCCCATCGACTTCCCCGGATCCTTCCCACCCTGATATTCCTCCTGATATTCTCTCCTTGATCCGTCTCTCTCCTGCCCCCCCCCCCCCCCCGTGCTTCTCAAACGCTCATCTTTTACGCTTATCCTTGTTTCACAATAGCTTTTCACCGATTCATTTACGGTTTTCGTTCTCGCAGACCTGATCTTAGTCACATTCTTCCTTCCAATAATATACTTCAGGCAATGTCCGCCAGGCGCTCTTCGATCCTGTGGGCGAGACCTAAAATTGATACTACCTGACAGGTTCTGAAACATTAATAGATATAAACCATTCATTAATATCTTGATATTTTTACCGCCTTTGGTTCCGACAAGTTAGCCTTGCGCTTACATGTATCTCTTGCATAATCTTAGATCATATCAATAGTTCGTTTCATCTTCCATAAACTATATTGATATAACCTTGAACTTTCCGTAATTAGTAGATTGAATGCAAAGGATGAATATTATACGTTAATTCTTTCTAGTTTCGCTTAGACTAT